CGATGCCCGGCCCACCCCGGCTCGGCGCCCCGCCCCGCACCATCCCCTGGCCCACGGTGGCGCCCCGCCCCCGCTGTCCTGGCGCCCTGTCGCGTCCCGGTGCCCACCGCCTCCTCCACCACCGCCGAGCCTCCCAAGGCTTGCCGCCTCGGCGGCGCCCCGCCCTGCCGCCCAAGGTGATTTTTTTTACTGTTTTTTGTGTTTAGGTTTAGGTTTTGGTGGTAGGATTAGGTTACTGCCAGATTTAGGTTTAGATAATTATAAGAAGAAAATAATTGAAAAAAGAAGAATAAGTAGAAGAAGAGGAAAAAGGGAAAAAGGAAGAGGGTTGCCGAGGGGATAGATGGTGGAGCCAGTGGGTCCCGCCTGTCCCGACGCCCATGCCAAGAACTCCCGGTCCGAGTGCTGACCCGTCGACCGTGCGTCGCCATACCTGAGGAAAAAAGAGAAAGAAGAAAAAGAAGAAGAAGAAAAATAAAAAGACACTCCGACACTACATCCACGTCCCACAAGTGACGCCGACGTCCGGCGTCCCAAAGCAACTGTTCTCGGTGTCGATGGCGGTCGAACACCATTGCGAATTAGGGGGCTAATTAGGGGGTTCCTCGGTGTCGATGATACCCTAAATAGAAAGTATCGTTGGTGCGAGGTACATGTGGCCGTCGGTGTTGAAGACTACATCCACGTTCCACAAGTGACACAGGGGTCCTGCGTCCAGCAATAACAGTTCTTGGCATCAATGGCGGTCGAACACCATTGCGAATTTGTCTGGCAGCCTCGGAGATGACGATTGAAAGCTAAGTGTTGAAACTTGAAACACCCAAACTAACTCAAGTCGGTTTGGTTGTTTGAAATTTCATAACTTGGCTTTAATCCTCATCGCAGAGGCTGCCTGACAAATTCGCCAAGGTGTTCGACCGTCATCGGCCACAAGAATTATTGTTGCGGGATGCCGGGCGTCGGCTTCACTTGTGGGATGTGGACCTAGTGTTCCATGCCGACCGCCTCATGTAACTTGCACCGATGGCAGTTGCTATTTAGTTTACACGGGGACGAGCGGGTTAGGGGGTTCCTCGGTGTCGATGGTACCGTAAATAGCAAGTATCATCAGTGTGAGGTACATGTGGCCGTCGGTGTCGAATACTTGCTATGTTACTCATCTTTCGATTTAAATGTGCAGTTATTTCGTCGTTGCGAGGGTCTAGTGTTCGACGAGCTCCGCCCATGCGTTCGTTGGTGAGCACAAATGACATCTCCTCCTCCCCCCTTCATTTGCTATGTTCCGGTCTTCGTGCCGATGAAACTTGCTAGCTGAAGGTGTCAATCATCAGTATGCGTAACCACTATGTGTCTCCCGTTCGAAAGGGTTATATCTATAAATATGCATGCATTTGCATATTTATAATCGTAATTCTTTAGAATTGTCCAACGTTATCCATGGACAGCCCGAGTATGTGTAGATTGGGTTCGTTTTCCCATATGCTCTTCTCCGAATCCGATGCTGAATTTTGTCAGTGCCTCCCTGTTGTTCTCCGGGTACACATCCTCTCTGCTTATTGCCGAGACGTGTATCAGGAGAACAACGGGGAGGTGCTGCCCAAATTTTGCGTCGGATCCGAAGCAGAGCACGGGAAAATGAACCCAATCTACACATACTCGGGTGGGATTAGGACCTATCTTTACCTATTAGCGTGTAGGTTGCATGGACGTAATAAAACTGACAAACTCCATTAACTAATGGATATGGTTTGCTTAATTATGTATATATTTCTTGTGTGTCCAGTAGGAAGTCAATATGAGTGATCGTGCGTGGATCTACACCGGTTACACTAGTCGGAAAGTTTGGACCGAGGAATGGTTAACAAAAACCAAGGGGTTTGTTAGAGCCGCATTTGCAAATGGCGAGGAATTAAGCTGGTGCCCCTGTGCCCGGTGCGACAACTATAAAAAGCGGGACGAGCTTGAAATGAGTAAAGACCTGCAGAAGTTTGGTTTTATGCCTGATTACACGGTCTGGACATTACATGGTGAGTCTGCCCAACGTGCCAGAGCCGAGGTGGTTCATCGTCGCACCGACGAGCATGGTACCGGGACCGCAGACATGGTGCAAGACTTTGACGATGCTCGGGACTCGGACGAGGAGATGGAGGAATCTGCAAAGGCCTTCACTAAAATGTTGGAGTCCTCAAAACGTCCTCTCCACGAGCACACTGAGCTTTGTTAGCTGGATGTCATCTCACAAATAATGGCTTTGAAGGCTCAATTCAACTTGGGCAGAGAATACTACGATGCGATGATGACAGTATTCAGACGATTTCTACCCAAAGGCCATGTGCTACCTCCAAACCTGTACCAGTCAAAAAAAATCCTCCGTGCTCTTAAGATGCCCTATGAGAAGATACATGCCTGTGAGAAACGATGTGTCTTATTTAGGCTTCAGTATGAGGACTTGAACTATTGTATCATTTGCAATTCTTCCAGGTATGTTGTGGTAGACAGCGGTATGGGTAAGAAGACGCAGACCAAAATACCCGTTAATGTTCTTCGGTATATGCCAATCGTACCAAGACTTCAACGTCTTTTCATGGTCAAAGAGACGGCCAGACAGATGACATGGCACAAAACGGGCAAAAGAACCGAACTAGATGTAGATGTGAATGTGATGATGGGCACAAATCAGATGGTGAAGCGTGGAAGCGCTTCGATGCATTACATAAAGAAAAAACGACATATCCAAGGCATCCTCGAGTCGCCGTTAGCACAGATGGGTTCAGTGTGTTTGGTCAGATGGCAGCCCCTTACAGTTGTTGGCCCGTGTTTGTC